GCCCGGGTTCTATGAACTAGGCTCTAGAGCAGTGGTTTCCAATTGTTAGTCTCAGATGTTCTTGGACTACCAACTCTCAGAAATCCTGGCCAGCACAACTAGTGGTGAAGGCTTCTGGGAATTTAAGTCCAAGACCATCTCAGGACCCAAGATTGGGAACCACTGCTCTAGAGGAAAAGCCGACAGGTGTCAGTAATCATGCACACCCACTATAATTCTCAGAGCCACTCTGGACCAGCATTAAAGCAGGGGTGGGGAAAGTTTATCTCCACTAGCAAGAAAGATACAATGTCTTGGCCTTTCAAATCTCTCTCCTTCTCTGCATGGAGCTAATTTAATGTTTTGCCCTGGGGAGCTGGGGGATAATAATCCACAGACAATTAAAAGATTTTAAAGTGACCTTTTCAAAGATCACACTTGGTATATTACCCCAGGATTTGGCTTCAGAGAACTAGTGCTTTTCAATGGCTGCCAAGAACAGTAGCTGCTATAGCTTAAATTAAAGTCAAAAGTTCCTTAAATAAGTGTTTCTATAGATACAGTAGTATGTTGTTGGCTTTGGCATACACTCAATTCTAATCTTCATAAATGGATTTTAATAGCTGTTTAAATAATGTATTCCATTTTCACAGAGGTGCCACAGAGCATCAGAATGAATGGCTTTATATATTGGTATTATGATGGGCTACCGATTAGAATATATTTCATTTAGAAAAAAAGGCACATATGACCAAACATGCTATGTTCGCCGAGTGGTATAAAAATGGTGGTAGTAGAGCAAACAATGGCCCAAATCCTGTTTAGTGTAGCAAATCACACTAGAGGAAGCCCATAGAGAGTCTGGTTGGGCCAATGTCTCTATAGGTTCCATGGATTCAAGTGGGTCTGCTTTAACTGTAATTAACTTTAATATGTATCAATGGAATTTATGGCAGAGCTGACTCACTAAATACCCATTGACTCAATGGGTATATTCTAGTGAAATTTACTATGGTAAGCAGCAGGATTTTGGCCAGTATTTGTGAACTACTTTTACTGTTACAGTGATTAACAACTGATTGATTGATTTTGCATCCTGCATTTTATTCCAGCTGACTTTGGTCTTGCAAAGCAGAAACAAGAAAATACCAAGCTCACCTCCGTTGTTGGAACTATTCTTTACTCCTGGTAAGAGAATATTCGTTCTGAAATTTGTAGGTATGCTTTCTCTTAAAATTGCAACAAATTTTTATGATGGTTTTGGATGGAACTTCTTTAATATTATTGATTGGAAGACCCAGTGGAAGAACAAACTGTGTCAAGACTTGGGAACTATACCCATGAGTCTAAGTGCGAAGTGCAGTTCCCCATGATCTTGATACTCAAAGAATCAAGAGTTGAATTTGTTTTAGTTATGGTTTGAGAATAAGCCTTGATCTGAAATTAGGTCCTCATCAGCAGTACTAAACCTGTTCACTTTTTTGGTATGTTTGGAGTCTTTACTTGTTTGAATAGCATATACTGTGTCCAGAAATTGTATGTACAAAGTTAATATATATATGTATTGGTTAGGAGGTACACAGTCTCAATAAGTTATCACACTTAATTTTCTAGTAATTAACTCTATCAACAGCAACGTAATCAAAGTTGTAAATGCTCTGGTGCAAAAAATTATTCCTGTTTTATTTAAAGCTCTTTCTTCTCCCATTAAGAGTTCATATACTGTATGACCTTATCCTCAGTATTCTTTCTATCAAAGTTCAGCCTTTCCTATCTCTTAAGCAAAGGAGGTGGATTTATTTTATTTCAGAGTGTTCACAGATACATTTGCCCAGGAATTCAGTTACTGAATTTTAAGCAGTTTGTCATAATGGCACCTCAAATATTATTCTATATCTAGGTAAAAACTCTCATTGATAGTGAAATAGCAATTTTAAGCAGTTTGTCATAATGGCACCTCAAATATTATTCTATGTTTAGGTAAAAACTCGCATTATTGATAGTGAAATGGCCACTAAGTTACAGTGGACCATTCCGTAAGTCAAGGGTCCACTGTAGTAGGAGTGAGCGTGTAATAGTAGTGTAGTCAGAAGGATAGGCTTTTGCTGGGCAGAGAAGTAAATATTGGTGGTAAGTGTCTGCATTACCTTACACTTTCTCCCTTAGTCTCACAGTTTCTCCTGTTTATTTTTGGCATATTTACTTAGATATGGTGAATATCTAAAATATCATCCCCGAGGCTTCCTCACACTCCATCCCCCCCCCCCATTGTAGCCATTCACCTGAGCAATATTCTTGTCAAATGGTGGCAACATGTATGGAAAAGTAACTAATTGATGACTGTTTGCATAGCGCACAGACACTTCCCCCCCATTTTCATTAATAAAACAGATAGAATGGAGGATAGAAATTAGAAAGTTACTTCTTAAAAAATATTCCTTTTCTCATAAGTCATTGCAGTACCCGAGAAGTGACCTGTTGTCATTACTTGTCAGAGTGTTGAAAAATGAACTAATTACATCATTGGTTGTTACCACAAAACAACCAAAGGACCGCATTTTGTGGCATAAAACTGTAAAAACAACTGTTAAAATGCTTGTAAGTGCATTAAAATGCTGTTCTGAAACTATTATTTAAAAGTAGCTAGAAAATACACGACTTGTTACACCAGTAAAGTATCTTTGTTCTTGCTCATTTCATTGCTTCTGCATTGCAAGTAACTTTATTGCTTGCTCATAACTAAAAAAATAGTTAGCTATACTTCCACACTCAGAGGTATACTTAATGGTGCCTTTGTAGTCTCCCAAGGGCTGAGCCTCCCCAACATATAATCATCTAGGCATCTCGAACATACAGCTTTACAGAAACTGAAGTAGAGCTATACTGCACTAGAAAGATAAAGGACTAACATGCTGGGAGGTCCCAACTCCCTTGTAAAGAAAGCTGAAAGATGTGTCTTGTGGTGCAACAATGGAATTAACATGCTGGGAGGTCCCAACTCCCTTGTGAAGAAAGCTGAAAGATATGTCTTGTGTTGCAACAATGGAATGTATTGGTTGTCGTGAACATGCTGGGAGGTCCCAACTCCCTTGTGAAGAAAGCTGAAAGATATGTCTTGTGTTGCAACAATGGAATGTATTGGTTGTCGTGGGTTTTTTTGGTCTCTTTGGCCATGTTCTGAAGGTTGTTCTTCCTAACGTTTCACCAGTCTCTGTGGCCGGCACCTTCAGAGGACAGCACTCACCAGAGCACAGAGTGCTATCCTCTGAAGACGCCGGCCACAGAGACTGGCAAAACATTAGGAAGAACAACCTTCAGAACACGGCCAAAGAGACCGAAAAACCCACAACAACCATTAGATCCTGGCCGTGAAAGCCTTCGTGAATAAATGGAATGTATGACATTTGGAGTGAATAGTGATTTCATAAACACTGTGAGGATGTTATGGTTTCAAATGTCCAGCCGTGAAAGCCTTCGCGAATAAATCGAATGTATGACATTTTGAGTGAATAGTGATTAATTTCATAAACACTGTGAGGATGTTATGGTTTCAAATGTTCTCTTTTTATTGCTGATATTGTGCTTTTTGAGTATTTTTTATTTTTCAGAATAGCTTTCTGTTATATTTTAAAAACATTTATTGAATGAATGAAAGGATAAGTGAACTGAATAAATATGGAAGAAGGAGTGATGCTGGCAGTTATATCTGTTGGAAATTGTCCTTGTTTGCAGTGGCAATTATGAAGTCCTCATATTTTGTTCATGTTGGATTATTGCATTGTGTACTACATAGAATGTCTTTGGGAGATGGTTTTGACTCTCTAGCCAGCAAGAATGAGGCAGATCACTTGTTGACAAGAACTAACCCAGAGAGTATCTTAAGGGTTTTTCTACAATTGCTATAATTGCCTGTTTGACTTAAGGTGTTTTGGGTGTGGAGTACTTTCCAACCCTACTAACAGCCCAGTGCTAGTATGCCTTAAGCTATGGCTACACTACCAGCAGGGAGCAAGCTAGTGTGGGCCACTTGGGAACACTCAGGCATTATTAGAACAATATAATGAAGCCTACCATTCACACAGAAATGGTTCCTGTCAATATTGTGAAGTGGCTTAATAATGAGCCACTTCAGAATACTGGCAAATTTAATCATTTCCACTGCTCGGCAGAGGGCAGGAGTAGTGGGGAATTTTTTTTTTTTTTACTCCATATAGACTATTGCTGACATGCTGCATCAGTTATTTAAAAAAGGAAAAGAAATCTTTTCTTTTCCTTTTCTTTAAGGACCTGTTGAGAAATTGCCTGCAGTTGAAGCCACCACCAATTCTCAAAAAATCATATTTTTTAATCCCACTTTCCCAAGCAGGAGAAGTCATTAATTTGCCAACATCCTGAAGTGGCTTGCTTATGTGATCACTTAGGTTCTTGTGATCACACATGCTGGAACTGATCCAAACCATAGCTATTCTAGCCACATCAGAAAACAGAGGCTGCTTGACAGGGGCCAGAAAGGTACAGGTAGGAATGCTGTGGGGATGGACTGGTGTGCTCTAGCAAGGACATTGATTGCCATCTTTAAGAGCACACCAGCCTGTCCCCGCAACACTCCAAGCAGTAGGCTAAACAACATGCATAGTCAGCCTTTCAGAGAGTGCTTCTTTCAATATGCATCTTTCCTTTTCTTTGACATAAATAACAGAAGCTCTCCTTTCTGTGAAATTCAACCACCTGTATTTGTTCATAACTTGCACATGGCAGGATTCTCTGTGTGATGGCATCCATTTTCTCTCTTATTTGTCCTAAGATTTCTAACTAATCCTTTTACAAATTTTTCCTTCTTGAAAGTAACCTTTTAACCTTTTCTCTTTTTCTTCTCTGCTGCTGTTTTTTTTTAACCTTGTTTGTTTTTGTTATTTGTCCTCTCCCCGCCTCGCCCCCCCATCTTTAATTTTTGATTTCCAACTAGTTTGGGGGTTTAGTGTCTGGAAGACACTGTGCCTTTGTCAAGTGTTTTGGAAATGAAACTGGCAGTTTTCATAAATATTTGCATTTGCAAACTAATGAAAAAGACATCATAGGTTATGTCTTACTCAGTTAATGTGTCTTCTTCCGTCTGTACTGCAGTGGGAGGTAAAACAGTGGGTGTCTCTGCTTTGCTTAATGTTGCTTTCTACTGACCCAAGGAACATTAGCTTGCAATTTATCACAGTACAAAAAGAAATCACATATTTAGAGGGGAAACTCTCAACATTCATATAAATAGAATATTTTCTAGAATACAAAATGAAAATGATAAAAGATGAAGAAGTCTAATACACAATTTTTTAAAAAAATTCTTCTGACTAAAATTTGTGTCCATAATTTGGCCATCAGAGCATCTGTTACAATGTTATTACAGTAGATGTATTCTTAAACTATGCCAGAAACAGTCCAGATGACGTAGCGTTTGGTACCTCATGTGAGCAAACAAGTTGGGAAAGCTGCAGTCAGCAGGTAATTTAGTTCACATTTTGTTGGGGAATGGACAGCTCCAAAGGTGAACCTGCACAATCATCAATTAATTGGTGACTGGAGAAAATTGAACAAGCAATTAGCTTAGTTAAGAATAAGATCACAAACTAAGGAGGGGGGGAAGGATGCACTTTAATTAATGAACGATCTGAAGAAAAAAATTGCGCTGAAACCCAGACTAAGCATTTAGATCCTGTTAAGATCAATGGGAAGGAGTATCACTGATTTTATACTTATCACTGATAAGTATCACTGATTTTAACAAGACTTCAGAGCTGTTAATCCAGTCTAGATCCAACCATTGGCTGAAATCCTGCTGTGCAGTAATGTAAATGGTGTAACCTTTGGAAGCGAATTGCTGTGAGAAGTTTCCATATACATTATATATATTCCATATATATAGGTGTACAGCTTGGGAATGCCCAGATTTCAGTAGTGACCAGGAGTGTCTTTGCACAGTTAAAACTAGTGCACCAGCTGTGCCATTTCTGGAGAGGTCATGGTGACACATGCCCTAGTTACATCTTGGCTGGATTACTGTAACACACTCTACACGAGACTATCTGTGGAAAGTGTCTGGAGACTTTAGAGGTCCAAAATGCCACAGCCAGATTGTTAACTGGGGCTTGTTACAAGAAACATATAATTCCCTCTTACAACAGCTCTACTGGCTGCCGATACGTCAGTTCTAGGTACAATTCAAAGTGCTGTTTTCAACCTATAAAGCTCTGAATGGCTTGGATCCAAGCTACTGTATCTAAAAGACTGCATCTTCCTCTATGAGCCTGCCTAGGCATTAAGATAATCAGGGGAGGTGTTTCTCTCAGTCCCACCAGCCTCACAGGCGTGCTTGGTGGGTACATGGGAGAAGGGCTTCTCTGTTGCCACTCTCAGATTCTGGAACTCCCTCTCACAGGAAGCTAGGCTGGCCCCATCTTTGCTGTCCTTCTGCAAACAGGCAAAGACCTTTCTCTTAAAGCAGGCTTTCCCATAGTGGCTGGTGTGATGATAATCAAGGACAGTGGGACTTGTAGTCACTGAGGATGAGAGAAAATGGAGTCAGGTTTCAAAGTGCAAGGAGTTGAAGATATGGGAATGTGGTAAAGGCTGAGAGGCTGTTTTTCCTAATTTACAGTCAGGCTGGTACAGAGTGAATCGTGATAAGAATGCAAGGTTGAAGAGGCCCCAGCGCAGAGACCCAACAAATTCCCATCTAATTGGAATGGATATAACATACCTGCATCTGCATGAGAATTGGAGGCTGAATGAGCAATTATGCCTCTTTGAGTTAATTGATTTACAGCCATGAAGAAGGAGGTCCGAGTAATGTAGAAAAATGGATGTTGGGCTATGTGAAAGGAAACTTTTTTCCTAAGAGAAGTTCTTGATGGATTGTGTTATGTAGCTGGATGGTACAGAATGTAGTATGATAAGAAAGGAGGAGGTGGGGCTAGCCCACCTTAGTTCAGCTTTGTAGTGTTTCTTATTTTAATGGGAAATAGCCCTTTTATTTAACCATTGTAACCTTTGAACATGTATTTATGCTATGCTTAAGCAAACAAACAAACTGTTTCTATGAAACTATATTTTCTTAATAAAAAATAATTATAAACATCCTAATTGTGGACTAGTCTCTTGGACCAGAAAGGTTTGGCTAAATCCAGAAGAGTGGGAAAGGTCACTGATTAGCTACCATAGAGACATCCTATTTAAATGAGCTGTTGTGAGTTCTAAGGAATCAGAAAGCCCATGTTGAAGTAGTTGCAAAGTACTGAGTAAAGTAAAATGTTCTTTAAGTGTCAGGCTTGTTCATGGCACATTTGCTATGCACTGCTGAGGCTTGAGGACTTACCTCCGTACAAAGTGGTAGATTTTTGGCCTCTGGAACTCCCTGCCCAAATGCCATATGCTTCTTAGGGAGACTTGAGCATCACAAATGGCAATCAGAGAGGGGTTTTTCAGATTGGATTGTTTGTTGCTTTTAAATGTGTTTTTAGTATTGATTTTATTAACCATTTTTAATATGATACTTGTTTAATTCTTTTTAAATATTTGTATGTTTACTGTTTTTAGCTTTTAAATATTGTCCTTTTAATGAAGTAAGCTGCCTTCAGTCCTTTTAAAGAGACAGGTGGGGTAAAATACTTTAAATAAATAAACGGTTACATACTGAGTCATGCGACTTGACGTGTAAGAGATAAGGTGTATGGAGCTTTCTTAACTTACAGCGATTTGCCTCTGAAAGCTTTGCAGTTTATGTAACTGCACAACTGGATTTCAGTCATTGTTTTAATAATTAAGAAGGAGGGTAGGGAAAGACAGTAGTAAAGAAAGGCAGAAGAGAAAATGATTTGATAAAACAAAAAGGGAAAGATTCTTGAGACATCTAACATTGAACAGGGTGGTGTAATAATAATGGGTGACGATGTGACTAGTGTGATGGATACTGATCAAATACATGTAAAGATTGGAGGAAATAAAATGAAAAGAGAAACACCAATCAATAACATTGCCTGCAATAATTGCTAGAAGACCAGATAAGAGAGGGAGCTAGATCTCCAACTCAGAAAAGTGGCAGATCCATGGGGGATAATAGATAATAGCAAGCCAAGGACAAAATAGAAGTTGGGCTACACTTTGATTTCTACTTGTTCAACATGAGACTATGTGATGAGAGTTGCAAGAAAAGTGGTGTTTAAAAGACCCGGAGCCTATTGTAAATATGAGTTCTTGGCATCTGAACCTCTAAGATGCCAGCTTGATAGTACTGTAGTTTTGCAGCATGGTGTTCAGTCTGGGCTTTTAACTTCTTTCAGTCCTCAACATTATCAGACTTCCTAAATCCTCTCACTTTACCAGCATATTACTGACAGGGTTATCGATGTATCTGTCCAACAGTAGTCACTTTTATTATGACCTTTGCAGAGAGAATCATGTGTTCCAAACAAACCTTTATACAAGCTAATCCTCATGAGGCAGTCTGAAAACAAGGAGGATGTTGTTGATCAGCTCATCAAAATTCTGATGGTGGGGCAGTAGGGGAGAATCTCTATATCCTTATTACAATTAAACCTATGTAAATATTGTCATAAAATAGTAACAGAATAAAATTGGGAATGAATAGTTAAGCATAAAGAATGCTGGAAGATTTAGTGAAAATGGATCAGTCAGAAAAGTGGTTATTCTATAGTGTTATGACATAGCTTTGCAAGAAGATCAATATTCCTTCCTTCCTATTTTCCCTTCTTCATCTTTTGAAATATAGTGCTACATATTTGCATGTCATTGTATTTTGGAATAATTTTCATGAATCTGAATATCCTAACACAATGCTTGGGAAATTATATTATCTTCTGTGCTGCTGTAAATTTTTGTTCAGTTGCCAAACTCATTTTAGGATGGAGTTTAGCATGGAAAAAGATATGTTATTAAATAAAAATGTGATTTATGTCTAGAGGAGCAGATGCCAGGTCTTTCAGAGAAAACATAAAGCATAGCTCAATCTGTTAAAAAAATTAATGAAAAATATTCAGATAATCTGTCTCTATTCTTGCTATTTGTTTAGCTTGGGAAATTATAATCTATTTTAACCAGGAAACAGGTGAAATGGGGATCTTTCTGTTTGAGTACAAGATGTAGGATTGAAAGCTTAAAAGCAGATAATAGTGATTACTGCTAATATAATATTTGTAAAATCCAGCTGGCTTAAACATCATGCATTACCTACATAGCTCATTGTAAATGCCACTTTGCAGCAGTGTGGATCATAGTTTTGAACTTGACCCACTGAGCTGATCTCATGCTGAGTTCTTAACTCTGATATTTGAAAATACAGATGTGTAGAAACACAACTGTAAGACTAGAAAATCCACATTCAGTAGATAATGCGTACTGTTTCCATTTCCTGGGAAAGGAAAAAGAGAAAAGGCCTTTGTCTCAATTTACTCCATAAGTACTCATTTTAATTAAATATTCCTTAATTTGGGATATACCTTAATTTGGGATAAGGAGTAATTTGGCTTGTTCCAGATAGAGCAATTAAGTATTAGAATTATAGTATATGTATATTGATCTGGAATTAGTTGTATTTGATCTGAGTGTGTGTGAGAGAAAGAATTTGTTAATTTGCATTTGATATTGATGGGGAGAAATTAAATGGAAATCATCTGTTTCAGCTACTTGTATTCTGAAGGTAATCTTGTCCAACATCCTGCTTCATGTTAAGGCAACATCTTCCAAAATAATAATAAAGATTACACCACAAATAAGCTAAGGTTGGGAGATATATTTTATTGGAATTTAAATAACTGTTTTGGATGCAGATGTATAGAACTAAGGGAAAAATAACTGGGTGGATCATGATTCTGTGTTCCACATATAAGGAAAATATAATATAATCTAATGTACTTAACATTTCAATACCATCTGAACAATGTTTTGCACTTTTATTCTAGCTCAATCTTGTCTAGGTTTTCTAGATTGCATATGCTTAAGCAGATATGGATATGTAAGCTGACAGACTGATACGTAGTTACTGCAGTTTTTATTTTATAAGCAGAGGCCTTGTAATGTGTACGTGATAGTTGATCACAAACTCTGAATCATTTTGTATTTTCACTGAAGAAGTCCTTAAGGTAGTGTAATGGCCTTTGCTTTTTTATTTTTTCCTAATAAAATATTTTCTGTGACTGTCTCCCTGCCTTTTATGGACTGCTGAATTTTGTTTTTACATGTAGCCCTGAAGTTGTGAAGAGTGAACCGTACGGTGAGAAAGCTGATGTCTGGGCTGCAGGATGTGTCCTCTATCAAATGGCCACTCTCAACCCTCCATTCTATAGCACCAACATGCTCTCCCTAGCAACTAAAGTATGCAGGTTTGCTAGATGGAAATATCGCCCTTACTTTTGCATACATGTACTTTATGAATGTCCCTTCCCTCCTGTGTTTCCTGAAAAATATTCATTATGCAGTGCAACCCTATCTCACATAGGCCTGGGACCTATATATGTAAGAGAATGTCTATCCTTGGAGATAGGATCTCAGGAGGGGCAATGTTTCCTCTGTATCTTACCCTTGGAACTAGGACACTATATGGAATCACAGGTAAGGGCTTTCTTAGCTATAATACTCCAATTCTGGAATGTCCTTCCCTCGGAGGCCTAGCTGACACTGCTATTGCCTTTGTTTCAGTGCCAAGTTAAAATTTATCTGCTCAAGCATCTGATGCCTAGAGAGGTCACAGTTTGGTCTTCAGTTTGCTGGGTTTTATTTTCATTGTTAAATTATTTGTAAGTAAATCAGTTAGATTATCCCAACAGGATCTGTCAACATAGGGGAAATTAAAACTATTTTAATATTGTTATAGTAAAAATATGACAGATTCTCCATGGATAAGAGGACATCAAAGGGCCATGTGAGATTGAATGAGTGCCAGTCAACCAGAATGCTTTCATTTTGATCCTTTATTGTATACAAATGTTGACATGTTTACAGCTCCCTTTGGCCACGATTCTCACCTTGAAATCCTCCATGTCCCAAGACTGGCCCAAGAGTGGTTTCGTTCACACTCCCTGGGTTGGGCTTGATTTGCACCAGGGTGACTCTCTCTCATTGAGCCTACACAGTTGTCACCAGAGTGTCCTCAAGCACCCAGGAAGGCCCTTCTGCTCCAATTGGCCACATCACATACCAATACTGAGCCACAATGAGTTTTAGGATCAGGGCTGGGAAGCATGGTGGGAGGCCTGAGTTATGTAACTCCACTACATAATAATTTGGACTTTAGGGCAGTACCACAAAAGCAGTTTTGAGAGCCATTGTATTGGTGCACACAGTGGGTCTAGTTACTCTGCTGGATCAAAAGAATAAAGAAGATTCTTCCCATTATCCTGTATTGGCTCTGGTGGTTAACCAGCAGCCTCTGTGTTTTGTTGGCTTCTCATCTAAGAATTTTGGTGTTCATATTTTAAATTTTGTTTTAAATGTTTTTCTTAGCTTTCTACACAATCCATAATGTCTCACCTCCTCCTTTAGTTTTATGTATGCCTTATTTGCAGCTTCCTAAACTGAGATAACAGTTCGCATCAAGTAATTTCAGTACTTATTATTACTGAGGCTTTAGATTTTATGAGATAATCAAATGTTCACTATTTTTGCAAGGATCATTCTTAAAGGCTATTATAGTCCTCATTGCCTTTCTTAGTAGTAAGAATTTGCAAGAATTGGAAAATAAAGGGCTTCAAAATTTTGTAGGCTTATGATGATCTTTTAAAAAACAGTCACATATATGGGGGAAAAAGACTTAGTATAGGAGACTGATGGGTGTTGTGCCTCAGTCTAAAAATGCTAATCATCTTCGGGTAAAGATACATAAAGAATAGTAATTTATCTAACTGGACTCACAGGTATATATATAATATTTTTTTCAGATGAAAATTTGGTCATAGATTCTTTGTGGAGGTGTGTTATCATGTACCACTCTGTTCAAAAACAAAAGAGGCTTTTTACTACATGCCCAGTGCAGTTTTTTCCTAGTTTTGACACTATCATATTTATCTTCCAGATTGTAGAAGCGGCATATGAGCCGATTCCACACAGTGCCTATTCTGAAAAGGTGTCAGCTGTCATTAAAAGGTAAATCTCCTGTAAAGGTTTGTATCTTCTTCCTGGTTGCAGTTTCTTTCCATCATGAGTAGCAAAGATGTTAACAAATCCAGTCTATGTACAGATTATAAAGAAGAACTTTATAAAGTTCTTCTTCTTTATAAATAAAAGCAACACCAAAAACACTTTCACAACAATCAATTGAAAAACCTCACTCTGGCAGCCAGGCACTCAAGGAAAATTTGCCTGAAGAGAAAGGTCTCCACCTGTTTACAGGAGGGTAGCAGAGATGGGGCCAGCCTAGCCTCCTGTGGGAGGGAGTTCCAAAGTCTGGAAGGAGCAACAGAGAAGGCTCTTTCCCGTGTTCCTACCAAAAGCACCTATGAAAATGGTGGGATTGAGAGAAAGGGCTCTCTTGATGCTCTTAACATGAGCTGGCTCATAATGAGAGATACAGCCCTAGAGATAGCTTGGACTCAAGCCATTTAGAGCTTTATAGTTTAGAACCTATGCATATTACAACAGTAGTCTAAAGACTCAGCTGAGAAGTTGGAGTGCTTGATAAACTGGTTTAAATATACAGCATATATACACTTGGGTTGCTATTAATAAAAGTAACTTAAATAAGTGATGATACATATATTGGTGACTCTAGGTAATGTCAGAAGAACAAAAGTCACCTTATAAAGTCTTATCCAGCACCTTAACTTCCAAAAGACTCAGTTTTTTCTGGAGAGATACCGTATTTTTCCATGTATAAAATGACACTTTTCCCTTAAATAATTAGGAAAAAAATTGAGATTTGTTTTGTACATGGAAGGCAGCTGCTTTTCCCTGCCTTTTGCAAAGCCATGGGGCATAGCAAAAAAGGAAGGGAAGGCTCCCTTTGGGTAGAGCAGCTGTGAAAGGGCTGCATGATTGTTGCCTTTTTATCCTGAAAGGGCTTCAGGATCAAAGGGCTGAGATCATGCAGCCTTTATCCAAAGGGAATCTTCCCTTCCTTTTTGCTAAAGGAAGGCTTTGCAAAAGGCAAAGAAAAGCAGTGGTCAAAGGGAGACCTTTGTTTTCTGCAAAGCTGCTCTATCGACATCAACCTGAGAAATGGTGCTTGCCCACTTTTCAGCTAATATGTCCAGCCTTCCTGTGGTTTCACTGTACTACGTATTGACCAGAATCTTTTTACTTATGTTGGCTGGTGTTGGGTCCAATACTATAAATTTCAGCAACAAATTACTGCATGTTAAGAAACTGGTTGTATTTCATATTCTATGCAAGACATGTGACAGCCTATGACAGGAAATACATGCATTAACATGATAGCTAGCAGTGATTCACCACTGTACTTTATGTAACATAATTTATGTACATCAACATATTCAGTGAGAGGCAGCATGGTGTAGTAGACAGAATGATGGACTAGGACTCCGGAGGCATGAGTTTGAATCCCCATTTGGCCATGGAAATTCATGGGGGAGGTATTGGTAAAACCACTCCTTAAATATCTCACAGACTTTGAAAACCCAATTATTGTTGCTCTAGGCTAAATGCAGCTTGACAGCACATAGGAATAACAATAAATACTCACTCGAATTCCATTGAATTGCCTACTTCCCTATTTGGATCCCTGAGAATTGGCCTTCCAGGACTGCTCTATACTTTGGCAAAGTTTTCAGTACTAAATATTGCAGCTACAATGGTGCTTTATGATTCCAGAGAGGCTTCTTTCTCAATGTTTAGATTTTTTCCAGCATAGTTTCTGCCACAAAGCAGAAGCAACAATAAGGAAGTGCTGGTAATGTTTCTTTCTTTCTCTTCTTTGCCTATTTTCTACTTTATTTGGGCATACAAGTGATGTAGCTTCTGGTGCCCCCCAAAACACTCTAAATTTTGTCTTTCTCCTGTAATGTACTTTATGTGGGGCTTCCCTTGAAGCTAGTATGAATGCTTCAGGAGGTCCAATACGCAATGACCAGACTGATCATTGGCCATTGCGTACTGGACCTCCTGAAGCTTTCATAAAAAGTTGGACCATATCACCCCTGCCTGCATTGGTTGTTGGTCAGTTTCCATGCCAGATTAAAGGTTTTGGTTCTAGCATATAAAGCCCTAAATGGTTTGAGACGTCTCCCTTCCCCCTTCTCCCAAAGCTGAAAACGATATCAACTACATCTCCCACAACTCTTCCTCCTCTTTCGGTCCCTTGTGACGTACCTATTGATGTTAATAATTTGCTATTTTGCTGCACGCTGTCAATATTTCTCTGGAACAGTTCTGCTGTCATCTGTGTTGCCTCCCTTGATATTTTAGCACACTGCTTTCCAGAACAAACACTTGTACTAATGCACAGTTGGGTTCTTCTATTAGCTAGCTAGCTAGGTCTAGTATTACTGGGTGTTGGGAAGTGGTTTTTCTAGCATATGTTTGAACTCAGTAGCTGAGTAATTTGTGTTCCAGAACTTACTCTGTAAACAAAGGATGAGATATATTTGGAGATACAAGTCTAGGGAAGTATAGTGGCAGTATGAAATATAATTTTAGTCTCATTTACTCTGTGTTTATTTCACAATGCTGTTTCAAACACATGCTGTAGAAAACAAATGAATATTGTGAACAAGAGAAAATTGGATAAAGGCCCCAGAGAAGGGCACAAACAAACATTATAGATAATGTGTCATTAGAGGTGAACATATTTTAATGATAAAGAAACATCATTGTGACATTATTTTATGTTTTAAAAAAACAGACATTAAAAGAAAGCCATGTCTTAATTCATGAAGCAATATAATTTGCAAACTCCATGAGTTGAGGGAAACTCCCACTGTGACACTCACACACAATAAGTTGTTAAGGATTTTTCCATTCTTATTACTCTGTATGATGTCTCTTTTCTGCCACAGAGGCTTAGATTTCTGAAAAGATTTGCAGAAGAATCTTAGGAACTGTCCTGTGAGATGTCCTTAAGGGACACTTGCAAGATCTAGTTATGTAAGTCATTAGTTGGTTCACTTCAAATAAAGCTTAGGTCCATTTCAGTTTTGGTTATTGTCATTGTAGGGTGTATAATTGAGAATTTTCCCACAGGTGCTTGACCCCTGATGCAGAAAGTCGTCCTGACATAGTAGAGGTCAGTGCAATGATATCAGATGTTATGATGAAGTATTTAGATGGTTTATCAACTTCCCAGCTTGTTTTGGAGAAGAAATTGGAACGTGAGAGAAGGCGTACCCAGAGGTATTTCATGGAGGCCAACAGGAAGGCAGTGGCATGTCATCATCACTTGACTGTATTGTCACAGGTAAGCAAATACATTATGTGATATTTAATGAAAGTAGAAGTACTATGAGTATAGTGAAGCATAGGTCTGCTTTCACTTGTTTGGCTGAAATCCTGTTGCTTAGTGTAGCAAATTGCAACTAGAGTAGGCCTATTGAATAAATGGAATTTATAGATGAGTTGGCTCACCAAATTCCCACTGGTTCAATAGATCTACTCTAGTCGCAACTTACTATGGTAAGCAACAGGCTTTCAACTGCTGTTTACATCTGACTACTAAGCATGTACCTGTATATAATATGAATAACTGATTGCTGAATCAGGGAGAAAGATAATGTCACAAATGATACATGTTCAGCTTTAGTTATTTCAGATTTCTTTGGGCCAGATTTCAACACCCAAAGACCAAAATATAATCTACTGGAACTAACAACGTGGGACCGTTATTCTGAAAAAAAAAACATTAATGGCAATGGTTTGCATTGTCCTTCCTTAGGAACCTTATGAAAAGTCAAGCTTCAGCAGCAGTGGCAGTGGAGGCACCAGTTTAAAAAGTGAATTTTCTGAAAATACCAACCTTCTGAATGAAAACTTCCACCAGTCCTATGGAAAAGACTATGATAAAATGTGTGATGAACCCCTGTCAGATGATAACTGCATTTTAGAAAACTCAGAAAAAGGTGGGAGTTATTAAGAGCTCTTCAGTACTTCTGGGATGCTAAGCAGAGTTGATTAGAAAAGTGTTGTTTCTGCTTTTATTTGTTTCACATACAGATGTCTTCTCAGAATTAGATGATGAACTGGACATATCAGATAGTACCAGCAACTCTAGTTCAAGTCCTCTTAAAGATTCAGCGTTTGGTAAGCTTCTTTAAGAATCAGTTTTAATCTCCAGTATGGTTGGCTGGAACTTTAACTGTTGATCTTGAGGGCAGTGGCTGGAGAACTTTGATATATACATCTGAGCTGGTAATTGTAACAGAAGACATGGGGTGCAGAAAGAAGGATGGTTCTGGTCTACAATGTTCAGAATGGGCTGAGAGGGTCAGAGAAAGATGTCTGAAAGAAAGGGAGATGAACAAGAAGATTCAGGCATCAGGCAGGTAAGCTCAACATAAAACCCTGTGTGTGAATCAAGTGCATATGAGAGTGGATGTTATAAGGTTGAAGAGCTGTGTTTCTTACCATTTTCCCCATTTTTGCTTGGAGACTAGAATCAATTAGTTTGATCCAACAAAGCTTCCTCAGTGGGTCAAAGTTAGAAAGGTTTACACCATATGCAGGTAAGACTTGTCTGAGAAGTGAGGTATAATTCACAGTGTTGTTCTAGGAATACAATGTTAAACCAACATTTATTGCACATAGTATCTCAACATGCTTATCCAATTTTGTTTCTGAAAATCTTCTTTGAAAAATCAGATGGCATAATTTAACTTAAAAGACTGCTTTCCATTGGAATTGCGAGATTCAGATTTTAAAAAGACAAATGTGCAGGAATTATAAGATTATATAGTTCTGGCATGTATTAGAAAAAGGGATTTTAAAACAAAATATAGGTGGATATTGTAATTATTATTTTTTAAGATGGATGCAGTACATTCTGGTGGCTGTGATTGATTTTGAATAGTTGTAATAAATCACCCAGCTGTCCATTCTGTCTAGATAAAACCACTGCTTTTAGTCAGCCATACGTTGAGTAGTGTCTTGGCTTTATCCAAATCCTCCAGTAGTCATTCTCAAGTGCACTTGTACAAAGCTCCAATCAGGGTGCAAAAAAAGCATAAATTATTGACACCATGTCAGCATTAGGTGCATTGAAAGCTTTACTGTAGAATAAAGCTAGTCATACAGGATTCAATTTTTAAACAGACCTAAGATAAAAAGAGATAAAATATACCAAAATAAATCTTGTTGGAATTAGCTGTTGGAATTATTGCACCCTCATACCTTGCCTTTTACAAGGTTTTGGCTGGGAGGGACCTTTCTGGACTGGGCTGAATGTCAATCAATCCAGCAGCAACCAATTGTTCCCTCTTTTCCTCAAGAGTTTAAAGAGAGACCCGCCTCTACTCAAGTCTTCTTTTCCCACTTGTTTTAGTCAGACAGTCTGCAGTCAGATAGGATTTGCGAGTGAGTACACAGCTAGTGAATCAGTTAAGCTCTGTTCATGGAACCAGTCCCTATTTTTTTCTACAGAATGCTGTTTGTTTTTATCTGTTCAGAAATGTAATTAAAATGAAACTCATTATTCTTCCCCTTACTGGTGTCTTTGAGTGACATTGAGATAGTATGTGCCAGTTGAGGAAAACAAACCAATTGAGGGAGCTAATTCTGCTCTGTGGGTTCCCTGAACCTTTAGCTGCTTCACAAGCTAGAATTATTTCAAACCATAAATTTCCACTCTGCCAATACTAGCAAGGCACCAGTTCCATCCTTACCATATCTCTACATAAAGTAGTGACAAGTTATCAAATACAAAAGTAACTGTGTGACATATCCCAGTAGGTCCTCAGAAATACATCCTCAGCAGATGCCTTTTTGTAGTTCTCAGTTTCTAAGGAGCAAACCTCACAAATGGACACATTCTGGTTTTTCTCTTTCCAGAACAGATTATCAAAATCACAATTGAGAACAATTAATTCCTACTTGGGGCATCTTTCTGGAATATGAAACAAGGGTGAGATATTCATTGCCTGAAATCCTGTTATGCAGTTGTGACTTGCATTGCAACAGGTAATGCCTGTGAAAATTTCTTAACTTGCAACAGTTCACATCTAAAAGTTACGCCTTTACACTGTGCATCAGGATTTCAGCCATTGTCTGGATATCCTTGTCTAAATAATAATAACAATAACAAGGATGTGTGGATTTGCATGAATTTGGATGTGCCTATTTCATGTTGCACATGTGACATGTTTTACTAATGGCTAATATTGATGGTTTCTTTTCCACCTATTAGAGCAATCTCAGATAGTAAATAGACACTGCTTACTCTTTATCAACTAAACTGCAGACACCTCGAATTTCTTCTGAGACTTTGTATGATTGGCATTAATTGAATATTATTTCTTTACTTTGAGTGAAAGGCTTTGACTCAACATTCTTTCTTAGATATTTTCCAGACTATCTTGTAAATTAGTTCTTGGCATCTGTTAAGCTATGATAAGGAAAAAAACTTTATATTGGTTTTTAAAAGATTTCTAGAGATTCTCATTTAGCCTTCCCAGCAAGAAGTAAGAATATCCCTGGCACCGTATTCTCTAGAATTTGGTTATTTACTGATATATGACACAGAGATCAGAAAATTCTGCTTCCCTTTTGAAGCAGCTCGTTACGTCTAAAGCTGGATAAATTCAAACTAGCATAAGGTCTAGTTTAGGAAAAGAAGCCAGAAGTAAACAGTGCTACGTGATCTTTGCTTATTTTCCTAAACCATAATTGAAGCTAATTATAGTTCTTTAGCTGGGATAAAATGAGTAACTGATTAGAAGCAGAAGTGAAAGCATCCAGCCCCCTTGTTTCAGCTATGCCAGAGGAAGGGTGAAGGGCCATAGTATGTGAGCCTTACTTATTTCGTAAAGCCGAAATTCTTTATTTTTTTTTCTTTATTTATTTTTACTCTATTTTTCTGGTTTTTACATTCTCATTCAAAGATTTATGTAATTGTGTGTTATTTTATTAATTTTTATATTGGAAGCCGCTCAGAGTGGTCGCATAGACCAGATGGGCGGGATACAAATCAAATCAAATCCAATCAATCAATCAATCCATCCATCAATCAATCAATAAAGTTTATGTCCAAACACAGCCAAGACTGCTTAACATGAGAATTCCAAACAAACCTCAGAATGAACTAGAGGTGACTCTTGAAGTAAAAACATTAATGAACTTCGCATGTGATAAGAGTTATCACACAGGACCTACTGTTCATTGAAACAGTGGTTTACATGCCCTTTCTATGCTTTGTTATGAAGAACATAACATTTTTTCTTTCCATGAACAGAAAACTAGGCACACTGTTCTTTCTAAAGACAGAGGAGAATGAAAAAAAAAGAGTTCCCTTTCTCTTGTAGCCAGTGGTTGTGAAAGGATGGTGGTTTGGCATAGAGAAAATTTGCAGTTTGGCTGCCTTATAGTCACCAATTAAAAATAAAAAAAAACCCAAATATCATTTGTGTTTAAAATATTATAATAACATTAATCACTACATGTTAAGCAACAAAGAATCAGAAACTGCACATTACCTCGGCTCATTTTTTTTTGCAAAACATTTTCATGAAAAGAAACAGATAGAAAGTAGTAATATGAAATATAGAACATTAGTGCAAAAAGTCTTGTAGAAACAGTCCCAATCTTCAGCTTTCTGAGCCTTCACACTTTAATGATTTCTTTCCCAGATGTGAAGGATTAAGAACCTTGCTTCTTTTCAAAGAAAAGCTGAAGTTTTGAGGGGAGCCATAGTTTCTGTGATGAAAACCAGATTCAATTATTTGCAATATGACTATGGCCTGGTGGAATGCCATCTTGAATAAAAATCTTTACATGAAATAGAGATTTCCATCTTTGGTCCTATTTTAAACCCTATTAATACCAAAAGATTTATATTCATGGTAATTTAACTAACCACCTAAGATAAAAATAGGTGCTTTGCAAGCTAACTAATGCGTCTTTAAAATTTTAAATATTTTTTGGAGGATTAAGTTTCATTCCTTTTAAAGCCTTTTTCTTCTCTGGGAAGTGTGATATGACAAATATATTGTTTTATTTGTGCACTTTTAATGCTATATTATAAAAAGCAAAACAAATTAATTTAATTTAATGTAACATGGCTAGACTAAGAAAGTAATTATCACAAATCACACATTTTAGATCACCTATTGTTTTAGTGTAATACTGAAGTATTGATGGTTCCAACTATGTGCTGTATTCTATTGTCATATAAGGCAAGATAAATTATATGGTCTTGTTTGTTTCATTGTTCCTGCTACCAAGAATGTGTCCTCCAAATTATCCTTTATGTCTCTTTGTTAAATTATATCTGTTCAATTTTGCTAAAATTGCCATGAGCAATCAAGTCCTGTCATTTTTGGATTTACCACAATGTCTGTCATTGTCACAGGATTATACTGAAGTGCTTAGTACAACTGAGTCTCCACCTATAATGCAATAAAAGTGAACATTGTATTTATCATTTGTGTTTAAAATATTATAATAACATTAATCACTACAAAAAGAACAGACTTTATATTTGCAAAAATGATTATTTTCCTCCTGTGTGTAGGTAGAAAAGGGCTCCCTTTGAGCAGGACTACCTTTGCCATCCACACGGTGGCTTCCAAAGCAACAGAGAAAGCCCAAGATTTTAGAAACCATTTCTTTGACCGATTGCCCTCTTCTCTAATGCTGCGCTCTGTGAAATTGTTTTTGTTCCATGTGGCCTAGATTACCTTGGCAAGCAGCCAATAGGACTTAAATGAGATCAAGTTCCTCGGCCTGGATTCAATCATTACATAAAATCTGTAAAATCGTAGGGTAACTTCCATCTTCCTGGTTCTTGTATTAACACCATCTGTGTGTTGACTGTTTTCTCTCCAGGCAGTCGACACATGAACATCTTCCAATTTATGCTGAAGTTGACTTTGTTTTGAAGACACTTAAGTCTATTCAGCAAGAACAAATCAGAAAATGATGAGAAAATTATTTCAGACTCCCATATTTTGAACAAAAACCTGTTCGAATAGTGTCTCAGTGCAGTCCTAGTTGGGGTACAATCCCATCTCCTATTACAGTATGTGGAGCTTCAGTAGCATCACATAGGAGTCTGTGTATTGAACAAATACATGTTTGCCTCTTCACTACTC